CGTGGGCGAAGGGGAGGAGAGGGGCGTGGGAAGCAGAGCCCTGGGGTGCTCCCGGTCGTGCGAAAGGGAGAGAGGGAGCGGGAGACCCGACAGAAGCAGGCAAGGATCAGGTCAGGACTGGATCCCGAGGCCTAGGGGAAGAGGTCACACCGCTCCATTTTCCCGACGCAGCAAGCCAAGCCGTTCAACCCGGGTTTGCCGTTGAGCATCAGGCACTCGGAGGGGAGACGCTCGGCGCTCTCCAAGAGCGCAGCTGCCCCGGCTCTGCCCGGGGGCCTTGCCCGGTTTCGGGGTCGCTCCGGGAGGGAGCGCACGCACGTCCTGCCTCCGGGAGTCGGCGGGCGCTGTTGTCACCTGTAGCCTGGAAGGCTCTCTCCCTTCTTCCTCTTACCCAGGGTCTTGGCCCCAGACCTGATCCGGGGTTTCTCGGTCCCTTCTGTTCGCACCACCCTATACCCGAGTGCAGCGCGCCTCACTGCAGAGCCAGCTACCCGACCAGAGACCACCAGTCCCACCCGTGATCCCCAACCTGTTCACTCCGATCCTCCTCCCTCCGCATTAGTCTGCTTGGTGGGGCTGGGGCGAGGGAAGAAGGGGTGGTGAGAAAGGGGAGGCGCCTGGAGTCTTTCCCACCCGGAGAGGGGGCGAATGGAAAGGTCGGACTGAGGCACCGAAGCCCCCGGAACTTGGGATCCAGTGGGCCGGAACCCAGCCCCTGCCCTGACTTTTGGTCTTCAGTATCTTCATCTATAAAATGGGAACCACGCGCCTCCTCCTCGACACCGAAGGGCTGTTGCACAATTTGGATGAGATAACCAGGAGATGAGATCTTTAAAGTCAGTTCCCAATCGCCCTTCAGTTCTCTTCCAACTTTGTTTCATGGTGAACTTGGGGGGCCCAGGTTGACTTCAGTGGTCCTTTCTGGGCAGGTGGCGGCCTTGCTAGCTCAATGGGGGTGGGTGATTCAGAGGCAGAGCTGGCCAGGGAGAAGGGGCTATTAGTTCTGGGGTTTCTTTGGGGACTTGTTTGTCACTTTCCACTTGGCTTTCCCAGCACAGCACCCCTTCTCCCAAGCCCCTGGGCATTCCTTCCAGATTCCGCCCAGGCTGAGCCTCTGCTGACAGGTTGGGGCCCTTGCATTCTCAGCACCTCACACTCAAACAACTTGAGTATCTATCGACAGACGGTACAGAAGCTGCAAAGGGAGGATGTCATTCGACTCTCCCCGTTCCTTGGAATCTTGCCGCAGACATACTCTTAGAGGTCGCAGTAGCTTCTAGAAACCTTCATTTAAGGAATGAGACTCTAAATCCGAAAACAGCCACCCCCAAGACGGTATCTCAGTCTCTGATGACTACCATCACGCTGCCTCCCTGGGCCTGCTCCTCCGCTCCCAGGACCTTGGACAAATGCCCACACCTCTCCCGAGAGTGTCAGTTTCCCAGTCTGCAAAATGGGTGTAAGTAAAGTAAGTAAATGACCTTCCTAGGGCTAGGCATAGATTAAACGAGATGAAGGTTGTCAAGATCTACTAAGTGTCAGGCAGGGCTTAATTCCCCTTAAGGAGGCTTTTAGATGGAAGTCACTACCCTTGTCATTCTAAAGGCTCCCATATTCCGGCAGTCCAGATTAGATCCCCTAGTTTACTGTGGAATATCACATGTATTTTGGAATATCACATGTATTTTGCCAGTCATGTTTCACACCAGCCCATGTGCACATCCGCATGCATGTGCATTCAGAAGTATTTACCAAGCACCCTCCACGTGTCAGGCCCTGTGCTCAGCGCTGGGTCCCAGAGCGGGATGGCCCTGGACCGCTCTGGGAGCTGAGCCTTACAAGGAAGACAGACGCTGCTGGTTTGCTGAGTCCTCCCCCAGAAGTCTTATCGCTCCCGTTTGCGCGCCAAACGCTGCCATTCCGCATCCCTTCTGGTTTCCGGACCTGGAAGAATGGCTTAAGTGCTTTTTTCTTTCCTTTCCGGTGCCCGCAACCTCGCCTCCCACCGCCGGCCCTGGCTCGCCCTGAGCAAGGACGCGGCTCTCCTTTGCAGTCTGGCCTAGCCGCTGCCTGAATGTGTGCAGGAACTCGGGGAAGAGAAAGGCGAGAACGCCAAAGAATGGCCCGGGAGGAACCCGGGAAGCAGTGGGAGGTCCGGCCGATTTGGCACAAGTTCCTCCCGAGGCCGCCAGGCGACTGAGCAAAGGCCGGCCCCGACGCGCACCCGGTCTTTTGTGGGAGGGAAATACAAAGGAGAGGGAAAAACACGTCTTCCGTTTTGACGGAGGAGGCCGACAGCTTCTGGACGCCTGGGACAGCCAGGAACTCGCGGAGCCGGGCCGATTAGCCTCGGCAAGTGAGCATTCAATTTCGCGGGAAGGGGCTGCGGCGTTGCCCGGACCCACCCGGGATGTGCACACCAGGCGCCGGGCTCAAAACCTGAGCAAATGCCAGGACGCCTCCAGGACGCACGAGGGCATGCGTCGGCGGCCGGGATCTTGTCTCCGACTATTCCAGGAGCGGGTAGGAGGACTCGGAGACCCAGAGAGTTGAGTCCTGCGACCCAGTAGCCCAGGGAGGCACAGGCTGCCCCTACCTCCCGAGCAACTTCCTGGCAACCACAGAATGTTGGGGGGGTGCTGACGAGAGCAGGGGTCTACAGCCTAGAGCTGCCAGCCCGAGCTCCGGGCATGGGGAGTAAGGACCGCGAGGTGCCGCTGCACAGCCCAGAACAGCCACCCCTGCTCTAGCTCGGGCACGGGGCTAGGGCCTGCAGTGTCCATATGAGCTTTCACGGCGGGTAAGTCTGCTCTCCTGCCTCTGGATTCTGCCCTCCCGGGCTCTAAACACACATGGTGCCATAATGGGCCCCTCAACCTTCCTCCCGGCTTCCAGCTCCAGCTACTGGAGCAAGAGCGTGAAGAACCCCAGATCGCGCACTCTCGCGGACCGCAGGACGCAGGACAGTCGCCGGTCGCAAGCAACAAAAGAAGGAACCGGGGCTCCAGGACACGAGCCACCCTGTGGATTAACCTCAGCGTCTGCAACCCAGGCGCGCGCACGGTGCGCCTGCCGCCCTGTGTTAGATACACAGGCGTGCGCACAAGTCCACACCTCGGCTGGTGGCCCAGAGCTCACATTCCCGTGAATGCCCTCACTGACGGTGGCCGGAGAGGACTGAGGGAACCATCCTTTAATACCCCAGCTATCCCTGCTTCCCCCGCATCCCGTTCCCGGAGTTCAACCATAAGACAGATTGTCCTAATTCAGCGGTTTTGGGTCTTCTTGCATAACCGTTGCACGACGTAACTCCAGGCTTCAGTTCTTCATGTTTTAAGTACATATTTAACGGATGGCTGCAGAGCCAACTGGGAAACACACAGGCTGAAAAATAATGCTCCAGAAAGCACGAGATGGGGGCGAAGGCGAGTGCGCACTAGGTTTTCTATCTTTGTTTTACCCAGACACCGGGAGCAACCCCATAAGCTTATTTTTGCATTTGTTTATTTTGTGCTTTCCCAATTTGAGGGCCAATTACTTTGTTTGTTTTTAAAGTTATATATGCAAAGTGGAAGTTCCGGCACAACCACTAAACAGAGGAGGGAGGGTTGGGGTGTGTCTGTGTTTGTGCCTGTGCGGTATAAAGGGCTAGGGTCCGGGATCTGCAGAACCCAACTTCTGTACCAGAAAGGTACGGATGTAAGGGATCCAGCTCAGGGAAGAGGTTAGAGACACCCATGGCATAGTAAGGAATTCCAGCATTTTCTGCGCTGCAAAAGATTAGCAGTTTTTTCTGTAGGCTTGATTCGTAAGCAGACACAGTCTCTTGATTTTCCCATCCGTAAAATGGGTGGATATGTCAGTATCACTGAATTACCTAATTTGGCCGCTTCTCTAAGACCAGGTTTACTCCTGATGGGCAGGAGTTTCTGGATGCAGTGGCCAAGCTGGGATTGGTAAAACGTGTCTGAAAACTGCCATGAGTAGCTGATCTCACTGCCTGACCCAAGGCCTGGAGAAGTCTTTACCCAGGCCTTAGACCTTCCACTCCCCCCACCCCCAACAAACTAGCGCTTCCCTCCTACCCCATGGCTTGGTGATGACCACAAGAATGAAGGTGAAAATACCGTCATCGGTTCCACAGCTAATAGGGGGGCGGGGGGATGGCACTAAACTTTGAGCTCTAGACTCTGCCGTTCTGTTAGTGCGGTTATAGTGGGGGAAATATCTCGTCCCTGTATCTACACCGTTCTCGACTCTATGAAGAGTTGTGATTTCTTTCAAAACACCGTCCCGGAGTAGGTCTCCTACTTCCTTCCCCGCCCTTTGCGTTGCAAGGTCCTGCCCCCAGCTGGGGGCGCTACCAGCCACCCGCGAAGGAGCCGCAACCGCCAGCTCCCGGAGGCGCGCTTAGCTTGAGAAGAAAGTAGGGGCTTTGTGCTTGGTTGTACTTTACATCTGGGGTTCCAAATGCCCACGTATTGATGAAACCCTTGAGATAGGGACAGGCCGCGAGAACCCACAGAGAGATGAGACGCAAAAGGAGACTCCAGCTCCAGCTCCCGGATGGCCAGGGTTCCTCGGACGCATCCCCCAAAAGATCCGATCGCGTTGGGTATCGGGTTAGTTCGTCTGCGGAACCCCCCGGCCCACCCCATCCCCCAGCCTGGCTCTGTGGTCACCGTATTTTTATAGAAATCTGACGACGCTCCGTCTCTGTGCCCCTATCTTAACCGCATTCTATTCTGCCCTCGGTACTTCCCCGGCAAGCCCGCCCTTCTCCTCCCCCTCGCCTCTCACACCCCTTCCGCGGGTTGGTCCTCCAGTCCCTCCCCAAGAATCTCCCGGCCGCCGACGCCCATTGGCTGTGCTCGGGGAGGAGGCGTGTGCGGACCCGGCGAGTTTCATTGAGCGGAATTAGCCCGGATGACATCAGCTTCCCAGCCCCCCGGGCGGGCCCAGCTCATTGGCGCGGCTGCCCCTCCAGGACCCGCACATTGTTCCCCGCCCCCGCCTCGGCCACCGCCGCCACGGTCGTCGCCGCCACCGGGCTATAAAAACCGGCCGAGCCCCGAAAGGTGCGGATGCTTATTATAGACCAACGCGACCTCAGCGCCCGGAGTCCGGTTCTCCGCTGCGACTTTGGGGAACGAACTCCTCTCATTGCATCCACAGTAAGTGTCCCCGCCCCCCAGCAGCCCCAGCCAATATCCTAGGGACAGACGCCCCTCAACTCGCCTGCGACCCAGGAAGCTCCGTTGGAGAGGGCCCGTTGGATCCGTTGGATCCCGCCCCTGCCCGCCAGTTCTCCCGAGTGGCTTCGCTGCTCTGACTCTCCCCACACTCATCGCAGCATCCCCTTCGCCCAAATGCGAGAAGTCGGGGCGACCACAGTTCCTTATGGCCAAGTCCCGGTCAGCTGGCAAGCTCCCCGCGGTCCCCCGGACGCCCCCCATGTTATCAAGGCTCTCGGGCGCTGTGTGCCTCTGTATGTTTGTTGCGCGGTGTCGATGGAGATAAAGTCCATGCGTTTGAGAAACCAAATAAATACTTCTCTATTTAGATCTCCACCATCCCAAAGAAAAAATATCCTCGCTTGCCATTTCAGTCCTGGGGTTCAGGCTCCCTGTTCCTAATTGAAGGCATAAAGCCTCCAGAATGACCCCCTCACTGAGGGGCATCCAGTGCTCCCTGGAATAAAACAACCTGTGGATGAGAGCAGAGGATGGGGTGGGAGGGAGGGGGGATTACTTCGCGCGCACCTGTGTGCCGCTGGAAGCAAGGCCAGACACCGCGATGTGGACACGGAGCGATCGGTCACCCGCGCCCGGACCGCGCTCCGCGGTGCAGGCGGGAGCAGCTTCTCGCTCTTTCTGAGTGCCTCACGCTCGGTTTCCATCTCTCTCTCTCTCTCTCTCTCTCTCCTGTTTCTTCTCCCCTTCGCAGGAGGCGTGCTTAAAGCTCCGAGGGCCGGGGAAGGGAGGGCAGACCCTGCGAAAGCTGCGACTACCTTTCAGGGCCATGGACTCGGACGCCAGCCTGGTGTCCAGTCGCCCGTCGTCGCCAGAGCCCGATGACCTTTTTCTGCCGGCCCGGAGCAAAGGCAGCGGAGGCAGCGGCTTCACGGGCGGCACAGTGTCCTCGTCCACGCCGAGCGACTGCCCGCCGGAGCTGAGCGCAGAGCTGCGCGGCGCCATGGGCGCGGCGGGCGCGCACCCCGGGGACAAGCTGGGCGGCGGCGGCTTCAAGTCATCCTCGTCCAGCACTTCGTCGTCCACTTCCTCAGCGGCCGCGTCGTCCACCAAGAAGGACAAGAAGCAGATGACAGAGCCCGAGCTGCAGCAGCTACGCCTCAAGATCAACAGCCGCGAGCGCAAGCGCATGCACGACCTCAACATCGCCATGGACGGGCTGCGCGAGGTCATGCCTTACGCGCACGGCCCGTCGGTGCGCAAGCTCTCCAAGATCGCCACGCTGCTGCTGGCGCGCAACTACATCCTCATGCTCACCAACTCGCTGGAGGAGATGAAGCGACTGGTGAGCGAGATCTACGGCGGCCACCACGCCGGCTTCCACCCGTCCGCCTGCGGTGGCCTGGCTCACTCGGCGCCTCTGCCCGCCGCCACGGCGCACCCCGCGGCCGCCGCGCACGCAGCACACCACCCCGCAGTTCACCACCCCATTCTGCCTCCCGCCGCGGCCGCCGCCGCCGCCGCCGCCGCCGCGGCCGCCGTGTCCAGTGCCTCCCTGCCTGGCTCCGGCCTGTCGTCGGTCGGCTCCATCCGGCCCCCGCACGGCCTTCTCAAGTCCCCGGCGGCGGCGGCGGCGGCGGCCCCGCTGGGGGGCGGGGGCGGCGGCAGCGGGGGCAGCGGCGGCTTCCAGCACTGGGGCGGCATGCCCTGTCCCTGCAGCATGTGCCAGGTGCCGCCGCCGCATCACCACGTGTCGGCCATGGGAGCCGGCAGCCTGCCGCGCCTCACCTCCGACGCCAAGTGAGCGGGCCGGCGCCGGCGCGATCTGGCGAGCAGAGGGACCCGGAGGCTGCGGGCAAGCAAGGACTGGCGGCGCCGGGGGCCCGGGAGCTCAGCTCGGAGGAGCGCGGGACCTTGGGCTGGGGCTGGGGCTGGGGGTGGGGGTAGGGGCAATGGGGAGGACACCCGCGCTGGGGAACCGAAGCAACGTGGTGGGGAGGTGGGGCGCACCGAACAGTGGGGAGGGAGAGGGGCGTTCTTTCTGGGACCTAGCTCAGCCCCCCTCTCTGGCTTTAAGCAGCGCTGCTCGATAGACAGCGTCTTATAAGAAGGCACTGCTAGGTGCACCCGTCCCTCGACACCCCGACCCACCCACACCATTCCCAAGAACGGCGGTTTCCTCGCGAACAGGGCCTCAACTCGGCCCGGGCAGTACTGCGTTACACAGGGGATCGAGGGGAGCGAGGACGGCGTGGGCGACGGCCTCGCCTTCCTCCTTTCTCGGCGGGTGGAGACTGAGGGGGAAGGTGAGCTCTACCAGCGGCGGTCGGGCCTCGGCCTCCAGGGTCGTCGCTGGCCCAGGGCCAAGGGCTACGAGTTAGCTGGAAGCTGGCGTTCGGTACCAGAAGCACTTAGGGTCGCGTCCAATCTGGGTAAAGCCACACTGGTCCGAGAACTATTGCCGGTCCTCCCTGTCACTCCTGTTGGTTTGGGGGTTTGTGGTTTTCTAATAAATCTGTCTCTGTTCCCTTTTCAACAGTGCGAGCAAGCTTTATAGAAAGTCAGAATAGAACCACTTGTGGATTGGAATAATCTAAAACTGTCGACTCTGGGAGCGGTTTTGTTTGTTTGTTTGTTTTTTGTTTTGGGTTTTTTTTTTTTTAGTTATTTTAAAATAGACTCTCCCTCCTTCCAGTTCTTTCCGTCACTAAGCACAAAGTGATTTGGTTTATTACCGGATGGGCGGCAGTCATTCGGATACCTGAGGGTTTGACAGAACTCAAAGGCATGTGCTGTGAATACAGTCTGGGTTTTTTGGGACTTATGTTGGCTTGTGTAATTTTTTTCTTTCTTGGGTGTGTAAATATAGGATCAATAATGAGGTAAGTGCGTGCTGCTAAGCTGTTTGCTCACGTGACTGCCAGCCCCTCCGGAGTCAAAGCCGGGTTCCCCCTCTATTGTTATTTTCTTTGTTTGTTTCTGGTTTTTGTATTGTTTTGTTTTGTTTTGTTTTGTTTTTTGCCACCTTTAACACAAATGACAAACTTTTCCACGTGCCTCCAGCGTCCTTGCAAACCGGCTCGGCGCGCCCAGCGTCGCAGTCTGGGCTTCACAGCGCCTGCCGCGTAACATCCTTCCTCTGACCGCTGTCCCTTGCAGAGAGTGTATCATCTGTTTTATTTTTGTAAAAAGAAAAAAAAAAGTGCTAAATAATATTTATTACTTGTTTGGTTGCAAAAACGAAATAAATGATCGAGTGTTGAGATTTTAAATAAAATGTAAAGTAAGTCGGGTGTTTTCTAACCGTTGGGGAGGAGGGCGGCCCAACGAAGGGAGTGCAGGACTCTCCCGCGGAGCCGGGGCTGGGGAGCGTTCCGTTGGTTTCAAGCCGAAGAAAGACGAGGGACGCGTTTGTTCTCCGTCGACCTCCCACCTCAACAAACACACTTACTTTCTCTTTAAAACGTGTTCTGGGCATCTCTTCGGGGTGTTTCTCACAACTCTCTTGTTACTTTGATTTTCTGACGCCTAATCCGGAACTCTTTTTCCCTTCGGTTGAGGACTGAGTTAGTTGAAAGTGAAAATTTCTCTCCCCGCGCACGGAATTTGGGGCCAAGGGGGCGAGGACCACGCTTTCCGCTGGGGGTCACGCAGCTCAGGCCTTCACTTCTACCGGGATTGTTTTTTTTCCCTTTGGGCTCAAAGGCAGCCACCCACTCCCATCCAGTTCGGGTGACATCCTTAGGCTTCAGCTGCGGACCAGCCACTTGGGGCCGGCGGCCCGCCTCGCTGGTGCGCTTGGGGCAGAGCACAGCGGGACTGTCGGTCGCGGGATCTGCTAACACGACCCTCCCTGGGCGCCCACCCGGGCCTTGAACTTCAAAGTGTTAGGTGCTGGGAACTGCCATCCTGGAGGGACACTCTCCTAAACGACGCTCCCACCTCCGTGCCCCACCCTTCCCTGGTCCATTTCTCTTCTGGAGGTCACTGGGCTCCCCGCAATTCAAAACTGCAATGCACATTTAGGACTTGGATAAAATAATAATAATAATCAATAAAGAGATTCGGGTAAAAAATAGAAAAGCTTCAGCCTTTCTGGTCAAGGAGGACAAACCATGTTGCAGTATCTGGGCCTGCAGGGCTTAAAGGAGAACGAGCTCCCTTGAAAACTGTGACTGGTCCCGGCGCAGGCGACAGTTCCCCAATCCTGGTGTCTCTCTTTGATGGCTGAGGGTGGCTCCATCCCCTAACTCAGGGACAAGTGCTTCTGGGTGCCCAGCAGGCGTGTGGAGCTGGGGGCCACAACAGCAGGCGACTGGAGGTCGGGTGCAGTAGGCCTCCTTTCCGCTCTGCTTTTTACCAAAGGCCGAGAGCTGGAGGAGGCAGAACTTCTGGGGAAGAGGACGGAAGGGCACAGGGACCTGGTGCTCCCCACACGACTCCAAGAAGAGGGTAGGGCAGAATCTACTAGCTTTTATTTCGAAATCTTATTTGAAACGAAATCTGTTAAGAATTCAAAACTTGGTTGGGTTCCAGCGGCAGGCACCTACAGAAGACTGGCAGAGGCTGGAACTTGGGGTGGGAGCTTAGAACCCAGGGAACGGGGTTGGGGCTCAGTTGCAGTAGCAGCTTCCTTCACCCACTGTTAGCCTAGGCGGTGTGCACGCAGGCTCTGGGTGCGCATGGTGTATGCAGAGAGGGGGCATAAAAGAAAAGGAAATAAATCAAGTCTGCCCCTCCCTACCCCCTCACACCCAAGCTCTCCGCCAGAGTCTAGCTGCGGCCAGGCTAGAGCTGGGCCTCTTAAGAAGGAGGAGCTGGATCCAGCCAGGATCCCAGCCCTTCCCATAGTCTCACGTCTAAACTGCACACCCACCCCGGGATCTCGGACACCGTGCGTGAGAAAGGAGCATCCATGGCTCTCTTGGAGTCTCACACAGACACAGGGGAGCTTACGTACCAGGCAGGTGGCTCCTCTCGGGAGGGTGGCCCTGGACTGGCGGGGCCCCACGTGGGGGACTCAGGACTGCCACTGGGCTTCGGAGTAGAACAGAAGAAGATGTCACGCAGACTCTCAGACTTCCCAGGGTCCTTGATTGGGGGCGGCCCCCCAATAAGACAGAGGGAAAAGGAAAAGGAAAAGGAGGTAGAGTACCAGTCCAGGCCTGACCCGGTCTGCAGGTCTGGGAGAACTAGTCCAGAGGTTTTCTCCTGCACTGAGCCACAGCTCATCTTCCCCACCTGCTACGTGGCCCCCGGGTGTCCTGGGTCTCAGCCGCAGAGCCAGGGACTTCTGCCACAAGACCCCAAGGTCTCCAAGATTCTCCCCAATCCCATCCGTCCCCTCCAAGAGCTCAGCTTGAAGTTAAAGGGGAAAGCTTCCTCCAGGGCCTCTATGCTCCAGGGCCTTGTCTTCCATCCTCCCTCCCTTACTGGTCAGGAGTCACAGAGAAATGATGACTGGACACAGGAAGAACTCCTTGGGCGCTGCCCCATGCTTCTGGCACCCATAGAGTTGAAACTCCACGTTTCTGGGACAGTGAGCCTAAGGACCAAGCAAAACCTCGGACCTAATGTTCATCTCAGTCTGAGATGCAAGGTGTCACTCCCGATCGGGATGGCTATAGGAAGACCTAAGGAACGGGGATGCCCATGACAGTCTAGGGTGGGGACAGCCCTGCATGTAGGACCTGTCTTCATTCCCAGACTGGAACCAATGAAGAGCTCTGAGGCCAGTGCATTTGGATTTTAAAGCCCCCTGGACACTCTGGGTGCTGGAGAATTATCTGTCTGCTTCCCTTTAAGGCAGAATGGACCTAACAATTGGCCTAAAGTCCCTCTATTAAGTAAACACCTTCATGCCCCCTAGAAGTTCATCTAAGACAAAGGATCCTCTGTATAAGCCCCATGTCTTATTTTAAGTCCCTTTTTCACCGCAAACTTTGGGCCAAGTTCCCAGTCCCCCCACACAGGTGCCTCACAGTACCAGGAGGGATTATAGGGGAGGGGGGTCTTTGACAGGGACCCTACCCCAAGGGTCTTAAGACCCTTGGCTGGTGACAGGTGCCCTCAGTCATTGTCTCTGGAAACCCATAAGGGAGGCCAGAATCAGGCTGGATGGTTCTTAGGATAAGTGGTTGCTGCATTGAATCCACCCCGGCTGGGGAGAAGAACCTTCCTAACAGCTAGAGACAGCATCCCTCTCCTTAGTTTGGAGGCTGGAGGCAGCCCATAGGCTAAATCCCTGGGGCTCCCTGCCAGAGTGTGAGGGGCCACTCCAGGCAGGACTGAGATGAGGACCTAAGGGGACAGGGATGTGGGGAGCCAGAACTCTGTGGATTCCTGGAGCTCACTTCCCTCTTCCCCATCTCTCTCTTCAGGGGCAGTGTCACTGCTATAGGCCTGCGAGGTTGGCCCAGGTTATGGGAGGACAGGGGCTTTGCAATGAGGAGCCTATGCAGCCGATCTGGGAGCAAGGAGGCAGCGAGGAGGCATCCCTGGGGAGTTGAGGATACTAATAGGCTGAGGAGGCTGGAAGAGGAGGTGCCAACAGGTATTCTAGGCTCCTCGGTATAGAGCGTGGTGGGGGAGAGCTTTACCGTGTTGATGCATTCACTTCTCACCTTAGCCCTTTGAGGATGGCGCTGTTATTATTACATTTTACAGGCGAGGACACTGAGGCACAGAGAGGGTGAGTGAATGGCCCAGGGGCATAGCTGGTAAATGCAGGTGGCAAAGTTGTAATTCGAGAGTCGCTACAAAGCCCACCTCTAGGATGTCGTCCCACCCGTACCCTGGGCCTCCTCTCAGCATCTCCCCCGCCCCCCCTTCTTTCCGCATCAGATGTCCCAGACTGTCTCAGCGCCGCCTGGAAAATCCTCCAAGCACCTCCCCGCCCCTCTCCCCGCCCCAGCCCCCTTAGGTGACGCTCCTCGTGCTCCCTCTTTATGCCTGGACCCATCTGTCCCCGATGCCCCCATCTGGGCGGCGGACGATGCCGAAAGGCTTTGTAATTAGCGACCTTGGTGGGCACGCGGCGCGGCGCCCGGGCTGGCGGAAGGAGGGCCACAGCAGGTGAGCTGAGGAGGC